CCACCTGGGGACACACCTGGGGACACACCTGGGGCACCTGGGGACACATGGGGAACAGCCACAACACACCTGGGGCACAGCTGGGCATGAACACCGTGCAGCTCTACATGAAGGTGCCCGGCAGCCGCACGCCCGGTGAGCCATGCACCTGGGGACACCTGGGGACACACCTGGGACAGCTGGGGACACCTGGGGACGCACCTGGGGACACCTGAAACACACCTGGGGACACATGGGGAACAGCCACAACACACCTGGGGCACAGCTGGGCATGAACACCGTGCAGCTCTACATGAAGGTGCCCAGCAGCCGCACGCCCGGTGAGCCACACACCTGGGACACACCTGGGGACACATGGGGCACAGCTGGGGACAGCTGGGGTCACCTGGGGACACACCTGGGCACACACCTGGGGCACCTGGGGACACCTGAAACACACCTAGGGGCACATGGGGGCACCCAAAACACACCTGGGCATGAACACCGTGCAGCTCTACATGAAGGTGCCCGGCAGCCGCACGCCCGGTGAGCTGCAGACACCTGGGGACACACCTGGGGACTCCTGGGGACACCTGGGGACATCTGGGGACACACCTGGGGAACATCCACAACACACCTGGGCACACCTAGGCACACACCTGGGGACGCCTGGGCACAGCTGGGGACACCTGGGGACACCTGAAGCACACGAGGGGCACACCTGGGGACACCTGGGGACACACCTGGGCACAGCTGGGGAACACCCAAAACACACCCAGGGAACACCTGGGCACACATGGGGGCACCTGGTGACACCTGGGGGACTTCTTTGGCATTTCTTAGGAATTTTTCCAGAACTTTTGAGATTTTTTGAGGAATTTCCATGGGATTTTTTTTGCGGGAGACGACAAAAACCAACAGCGCTGGGGACAGCAGACCCCAATGTCCCGGGGGGGCAGCGGGGGTGACACGGGGTGACACGGGGTGGCAGTGACGGTGACAGTGACGGTGACAGTGACGGTGGCAGCGTCTGGGCACACTTGGGGACACATGGGGACAGCTGGGGCACCTGGAGACCCACCTGGGGACACCTGGGGAACACCCAAAACACACCCAGGGAACACCTGGGCACACCTGGGGGCACCTGGTGACACCTGGGGGACTTCTTTGGCATTTCTTAGGAACTTTTCCAGAACTTTTGGCATTTCTTTGAGATTTTTTTTCCCCAAGATTTTTTGAGGAATTTCCATGGGGTTTTTTTTTTTTTTCTTTGCCTTTTGGGATTTTTCACGGGATTTTTTTCGTGGGAGGCGACAAAAACCAACAGCGCTGGGGACAGCAGACCCCAATGTCCCGGGGGGGCAGCGGGGGTGACACGGGGTGGCAGTGACGGTGACAGTGACGGTGGCAGCGTCCCCCGCAGGCCACCAGGAGAACAACAACTTCTGCTCGGTGAACATCAACATCGGCCCCGGCGACTGCGAGTGGTTCGCGGTGCACGAGCACTACTGGGAGACCATCTCCGCCTTCTGCGACAGGTGGGCGTGGCCTGCAGGGAGGGGGCGTGGCCTGCATGGAATGGGCGTGGTCTGCATAAAGGGCGTGGTCAGTGAAAGGGGCGGGGCTTGCATAAAGAAGGTGTGGTTATTGGGGCAGCACTGCCGACAGAGCATCGACAGAGCATAGCTGCCTTCTGTGGAAATGTGGGCGTGGTCTGCATAAAAGAGGGAGGGGTTTGCATAATTGATGGATTGTTAGCATAAAATGGTGTGTGGATGGTGAAAGGGGTGGGGCTTGCATGAAGGGGCGGGGTTATTGGGGCAGCATTACTGGGAGAGCATCTGTGCCTCCTGCGGCAGGTGGGAGGGGCCTGGGTAGGGGGAGGGGCTTGGGGAAGAGGAGGGGCTTAAGGAAAGAGGGAGGGGTTTAGGGAGAGGGGGAGTTGCTGAGCTAAAAGGGGAAGGGTTTAGGGAAAAGGGGTGGGGCTGGGAAGGCGATGGAGCTTAGGGAAAGTGGGAGGGGCTGAGAAAAGGGGTGTGGCTATGGGAAAGGGGGGCGGGGTCTGCATAAAGGAGCCACCACACCATATCAGTGTTAATTAGTGGGGGTGTCCTGATAATGCAGGGGTGTGGTTACACATGGGGGCGTGGCTAACTGCAGTGGGCGTGGCCAATGCTCTTTTCCCAGCACCCAGGAGGAGGAGGAGGAGGAGGAGGAGGAATTCAGGGCTGGGAGGGAACGGGGGCGGGGCCCTGTGGGCATGGCCAGGTGTGGGCGGGGCTGTCTCTGACCACGCCCCCGGCGCAGGCACGGCGTGGACTACCTGACGGGCTCGTGGTGGCCCATCCTGGAGGACCTGTACCGCTCCAACATCCCGGTGTACCGCTTCGTGCAGCGCCCCGGCGACCTGGTGTGGATCAACGCCGGCACCGTGCACTGGGTGCAGGCCACGGGCTGGTGCAACAACATCGCCTGGAACGTGGGGCCGCTGACAGGTGAGGGGACACGGGGACACTGGGGACACTGGGGACACTGGGGACATTGGGGACACTGGGGACACTGGGGGAACAACATCGCCTGGGGATTTAGGGATCTGGAAATACCTGCTCACAGTTCAGAGATCCCAGCAGTACTGAGTTGAGCCCATTAAGGCAGAAATTCAAGCACAGAAATTCACCCACATCTCAAGATGCACATGAAAGGGCTGCTCCAAGAGCCACTTATGGTATGTTACAAGGATGGCAGCATCTGGTTTAGTCCCTTAACTTTTCCAAATGTAAAGGACAGTAGAGTTTATAGTCATTTTCCATTTTCTTAAGTCACTTCAAGAATCCAAATCTGTTTAAACTCAAATTTTAATACACTAAAAACAGGGGGAGGGTACCTCTGCTGCCTCCTTCCCACAACTTAAAACACACCAGCTATTAAAGCAGCAAGACATTTAAATGACTATTCATTCTGATTTTTTTTAAAGCAGTGCTAGGCTTTCACCTGTATCATTATTATGTAGGCAGTGACAGATGGCAATGGAAAAATATAAAATAACTCTTAGAGTATTAACTTTTTTCAGTACCGTATGTGTCAGATTCTTTAGCATAAATAAATGGCATTACACAGTCTCATTAAATCTATACATCTGTGTAGTAACTTGCAATTTATGGATATTTTCTGACACAATGTTCAAACCAACAGGTTTAGCTCACATGTTTCTTTTCTCACCATGCCATCTCCAAGTCACCAGAAAAGCAAACAAAAGCAAAACCCTACACTAAATATTCCTGAAGAATTCTATGAGAAGATTTGCTATTCATCATCTACATACATTTAAAAGAAAGAGAAGGGAAGAGGGGGCGTGGCCTGCATGGAATGGGCGTGGTCTGCATAAAGGGCGTGGTCAGTGAAAGGGGCGGGGCTTGCATAAAGGAGGTGTGGTTATTGGGGCAGCACTGCTGACAGCATCGCTGCCTTCTGTGGAAATGTGGGCGTGGTCTACATAAAAGAGGGAGGGGTTTGCATAATCTATGGATTGTTAACATAAAATGGTGTGTGGATGGTGAAAGGGGTGGGGCTTGCATGAAGGGGCGGGGTTATTGGGGCAGCATTACTGGGAGAGCATCTGTGCCTCCTGCGGCAGGTGGGAGGGGCCTGGGTAGGGGGAGGGGCTTGGAGAAGAGGAGGGGCTTAAGGAAAGAGGGAGGGGTTTAGGGAGAGGGGGAGATGCTGAGCTAAAAGGGGAAGGGTTTAGGGAAAAGGGGTGGGGCTGGGAAGGCGATGGAGCTTAGGGAAAGTGGGAGGGGCTGAGAAAAGGGGTGTGGCTATGGGAAAGGGGGGCGGGGTCTGCATAAAGGAGCCACCACACCATATCAGTGTTAATTAGTGGGGGTGTCCTGATAATGCAGGGGTGTGGTTACACATGGGGGCGTGGCTAACTGCAGTGGGCGTGGCCAATCCTCCTTTCCCAGCACCCAGGAGGAGGAGGAATTCAGGGCTGGGAGGGAACGGGGGCGGGGCCCTGTGGGCATGGCCAGGTGTGGGCGGGGCTGTCTCTGACCACGCCCCCGGCGCAGGCACGGCGTGGACTACCTGACGGGCTCGTGGTGGCCCATCCTGGAGGACCTGTACCGCTCCAACATCCCGGTGTACCGCTTCGTGCAGCGCCCCGGCGACCTGGTGTGGATCAACGCCGGCACCGTGCACTGGGTGCAGGCCACGGGCTGGTGCAACAACATCGCCTGGAACGTGGGGCCGCTGACAGGTGAGGGGACACTGGGGACATGGGGACATCATGGGGGGAACGACATCGCCTGGAATGTGGGGCCGCTGACAGGTGAGGGGACACGGGGACACTGGGGACACTGGGGACACTGGGGACATTGGGGACACTGGGGACACTGGGGGAACAACATCGCCTGGAACGTGGGGCCGCTCACTGGTGAGGGGACACTGGGGACATTGGGGACACTGGGGACACTGGGGACATTGGGGACACTGGGGACACTGGGGGAACAACATCGCCTGGAACGTGGGGCCGCTCACTGGTGAGGGGACACTGGGGACATTGGGGACACTGGGGACCTTGGGGACACTGGGGACACGGGAGTGACATCGGGGTCACACGGTGGGCGCTGTCACGTGGTGGCCACGGAGCGTGCGGGGCTCCGTGTGTCCCGGGGGCGCGGTGGCCGCGACGTCCCCTGTCCCTGTCCCTGTCCCCAGCGTACCAGTACCAGCTGGCCCTGGAGCGCTACGAGTGGAACGAGGTGAAGAACGTCAAGTCCATCGTGCCCATGATCCACGTGTCCTGGAACGTGGCCAGGACCGTCAAGATCAGCGACCCCGACCTCTACAAGATGATCAAGTGAGCGGGGACACCTGGGGACACCTGGGGACACGCGGGGACACCTGGGGACAC